AGTATTACGCACGTTTTCAGTGTTATCCACTGAATATCTACACCGTTACGTCATGAAGTGTACTGTCATAAGATAAGGCCAAATCGAGGTAACTACATACACTCGACAGCAAATAAATCGCACCACCCGCGACAAGCACTTTCAAACGTATGCATCCCCACTTCACACCAATATTGGTACCATTCAAAAGCCTAGTTCTAAACTTCATTTCATTATAGGAAAGGTTTTTACCCCATAAATGTTTCTTTAGAATGATCCAGAGTCACTTCTTCAAAAAAATAGATAGTACGCTTGAGCCAACTTTTATGGCTATAAAACTGTTAAGTTGGGATTAATCGCTATCCATCTGTTAAAGAGGACACGTGTGATCATTATTTGGTTTTATAACCATAAATTATCCTGCTTTCGCCTCCGAGATTTATTTTACCATGTAGTAGTACCCCTGTACGACAACCCAATCCGCACACAATATTCAGCGTAGTAGTATTAAAAAACAAAAGAGCGGGCAACCCCACCCCTACCACGCTGTGGGCTCGGTGTCCGAGCGGTCTCATTCCTTTGTGCGCACGCGCAACGACCGCACGCAGTATAAGAAAAATGCTTAAGTGACGTCACCAGGACGTTTTTACCGACAAAAAACGTAATTATTTTAAGTTGTGCAGTGTAGTGACGAGAATTAGACCCAACAAAAGGTTGGTTGTAACAACTATTTTGTGCAAGTGCTCGTACATTTTTATTATAAGCGTTGTGACACGACGCGTAACTTTGACCCATTTTTAGCTCCAAGTTAACGCGCGATGTTAACCAGTAGCCATTTTTTTGCTCCGAGGTAATGCGAGATGTTACCCAGTAGCCATTATTGAATGATCAAACGAACTTACCAAGTGAAGTTCGATCTAAATTATCCTGTTTTCGCCGAAGAGATTTAAGGTCCCTCCCAACCCGAAGATTTCTATATCTTCTTCCCTGGAGGTAAACGTCAATGTCATCTCTTCTCTAAATATAATGAGACCGCTCGGACACCGAGCCCACAGCGTGGTAGGGGTGGGGTTGCCCGCTCTTTTGTTTTTTAATACTACTACGCTGAATATTGTGTGCGGATTGGGTTGTCGTACAGGGGTACTACTACATGGTAAAATAAATCTCTTCGGCGAAAACAGGATAATTTAGATCGAACTTCACTTGGTAAGTTCGTTTGATCATTCAAATTTGGTCTATTTGATCCCAGAGGTGAGCCCAAAGTGAGGTCTTTTTTCAAGTCACATTTATGGTATATGTTAATCATTTATTAAGAAATTAAATGTGTTTTTCTCTAAGGATATTTATTGGGCTTTCAAATAACACCAATATTGTTGGGGCACCATCATTGTGTCAAAAGAAAATCTTTAAAGTTCGCGTCGCGGGTGGTTCGATTTATTTGCTGTCGAGTGTAGTTAGATGATGCTCATTTATTATGTAGAATCTATCTATTTCTGAATTTACTAAGATTTGTATGTGGATTCATCCGAGTAGATTTCGATAGGCTAATAAGCTACGAGTATTATAAATAACATTAAATCGTGTACATAAGTTTTTCAGCGGAGGAACCACATAATATAAGTAAGCAATGTATAGTATTTATCCGCCATCGTGTCTCACATCCTTTACCAAGTTTCGACGATTCATTACATGACATAAATTCAGCAAAATGCTATTATTTCATCTCCCAGTCGTGAAAGTTTGATCGTGATTAATCCAAAGCTCCAAATGCTGAGATGTCGACTGAGCTGTTCGCTGCTATTGTTGGGACATCGCGAAAATTTATGTTGGACGATCATGATCTGAAATATGGGCAATGTAGAGACGACGGCACATGTACGTAAATGAGTGCACATTGTAAGTATTTCTAAAATTTGCTGGATCCAAAGCCAACAAGTTTGGCTATTACGTTCTATACTATTATGACATCACTATTTGACTCTATAACCTGTAAAGTAACCCTTACCCCAGTTTCTGAATTGAGATGTTTAGCTTGAGCTTTGATATTATAATTAAGCTAATAAGTTTCAGGAATTTTCAACGATTTAAATGCACCTCGATTTATAAAAATTACGTGTTGGAATTGGATTCATGAATCACAGACCATAAATGAAAGGGTAGCTTCAACTATTACTAGTAGTAAAACTATGTGTTTACAAGGTTTTTCAATTTAATTCACTCTGCTAAGTAAAGCTACTGCACAATCTGCGTTCGCGCAAAACCTGTCGCTACGGTTGCTGCCAGTTGTTGATAGATGGCGTTGTGCGTACGAAACGTTGTAAAAAGCTCCCATCCATGGCGGTTAGCTTTCTCACAAGCACTGTAGAGTTACTTTTTACTTTGTATTCGTGTTTTCGCTAATTCATATAACGTTACTGGGCGCAAAAATGAATAGATGAATGGTGAAAAGAATATGGTTTTGTAAAATTACTTTATTATGAGCTTTTACTCATAATTGCACTATTATTTCTAGTGAAAACAAAACATTAGGAATCGCTAAATAACACGGTGGATACCTAGTTAACTGCTACATTAATTAGTTATTTTAGACAAATATTGGTATTCTACTATAGCTAATGAGTACCTACACTAGACAGCCTAATGGCTTTGTAAGTAATTTACTAAAGTGTTAAATCCGCATGATTTCACGTTCAAAGAATGTACGACAAAACAATAAACACTTCATGACTCGTATTAAAAAACGGCGGAAGCGGCGTTTGAGAGCACTCGTTTAGATCAGTTAACCCTTTGCGAGACAGTATTGCGTGCCGACAAGAACTAATAAACCCTTTGCAATCCGCCGCTTTCACGAATGCGTTTTGGTATTTGGTATTTAATAACAATAAAATGTAAAGCGCCAATAAAAATCAATGCTATCTGAAATCGAAGCGGAAACGATTCTAAAGATTTGATGGAATTTTTTGTGAGAAAATCGTCGATAAGAAGTTTTAAGCGTCGCTCATTCAGTACAAATTGAATACTTATCTGAAATCCTTTATTAGAGTTAAATTTGGCTGCATTCCATAAAAAGATGTATTTACTTTGCTAAAAATAGTTTCATAAGTTTAAGGTCACTATTTTAGTAACAATAAGCCCTAATAACACATTGCTTAAATCCACCTACCTAACTTTTTATAGAAAATTTTTATCAGTGCGTAATTTCAACGCGTCGAACTATTTCACATTGAAGCTTTTGGCACAAAAGCCTTTTTTCGTAGCCTGTACACATAAACATCTGTGGACCTGTGGTCATGTCTAGACAGGTTGTAAATATAATCCTTTTTCGAGACAGACGCTCGTCTATTGTTTATTATTGTATTGAAATTGTCTGATGTTCAAATGTGTGGTTCATATTTGGTTTTTGAATATCGCTGTTGGTGAGTTTGTTTCTTCTTACATAGTTAATTATTATTTCATGTAATTACAAAATATTTGCCCATAAATATTAGCACGATCATCACTTTAGAATACTTTACCTAGTATTAGAGGCCGGTCGATCTATTCTCATAAATAAAACACTAAATACTCATCTTTCACATTATATTGCCTTATTTTAAATACAATTCATCACTTAGCACAAAAGCGCGCGGAGTCGTCTCCGCGCGTCCCTCTATTCTCACGTTTGATGTTAGCGTGACATTGACGTATTGTCAATGTCACTATGACAGCAACTCATTGGCCACAACTATACCATTATTTTAACGTTTTAGATTTTTCATAATTAACACTAGAGATAGCATATCTTATATTGAATTTACAATGTTATACCGTCGCTATCAGTGTATTATGATGTTTTAATTGACAGGTAAATTTCATCATCATGATATCTTCAATCAATTTCAGTACTCTGCTGCATTAATTCCTGAAATTGGTAGAGCTTAGCCCTACGAGTGCCAGAGGGCCGGTTTATTTATTATTTATTAAAAAGGGGCACGAAATGAATATTTATACATCGACGGATCGATGGATGGGTCATAAATATTTATGCATGAATAGTCTGGTAATTATTGTTGTTTGACTCTACACTTAACGACAATAATTAGTTAATTACACATTAAATCAATCATTACTGTGAAAACATGCCCATTACGGCGTACCTAAGTACTTACATGATTAACTCACATAAAGGTATACCTCTTTCCAGTAAATTGGATCCCAATGACGTCATTAGGTGAGCAATTTGACAAGTACAAGATAAGGTATCGCGAGTGAACTATGCGTCACGATGCAGGTACGTCCCACATTCAACAAAGAGTTTGAATAACTTTACAGATTACAGAATATCCCAGGATTAGAGTTCTAGAACTCTTTGTTCGTTATCGTGGGGAATAGATAAAGATGCAACGCAATGCAACACCTGACTAGTTTTGATAACGTGCCTAATGTTGCTAATGTTAATGCAATCAGGATATCCTGTTGCATTTATCATTCGCTGTTTGAATATGATAAGGTGAATTTTTAAAAAATACTTACAAATACATATTTGCAATGGTTGTAGCATGTAGGTTTGTAGATGATGAGATCATCAGACAGCTATCAGCTAGAGTGGTTGATAGTAGAATGCAGACGATAGTCCAAATATCAGACAAAACATCAGATATTTAAAATTTTGAACGTAAAGTTGTAAGNGTTGTAAATGTAGAGTTTAGTTCAACAGCATCTTAGAGAAGCTTAAAGTTTTCTATACAATATGTAACTGGCAAATTGAATTTTATTTGTATGCAGCTACTAACTGTGAAGTAAACGATAGAAATCATAGTGTTCACACGCCTTCAGAATAGCCATTGAAATTTTATGATTAACGCAAAACAAACAAAGTTGTACTTCCATGTTTATAAAAGCTCGCAAAGCGCGCTCCTGTTCATGCCAATCTCGTGGCGGCCAACTTGTTGCCGTAACGAGCGAGAGCTCCGATCGGACCTCTCTGTCGGGGGAGGAGCGAGCGAGCGCGGGGAGCGTGCCGGCCGGTCGCTCAACTCGCTCCTCTGTCAGTCAGTCGCTCACAAGCACTCGAGAGTGGCGTGCGTTTCGTCCATATCCCCTCTCGAGCCGTTATGTGTCGTACTTCGAAACAAGTTTGACGGGAAATTCGTAAAGTTTCCCGAGCGCGCCCGGACTAACGTAGCGATGAGCGCGATAATAGCGAAACAAACAGTGACGATTTGAATAAAGTGACAGTTAAAGTGAGTTATTCGAGATGTTATCGATGGGATTATTGGCTGTGTGGTGTGCGGCGTTTTGGATGTGGTCGGGCGCCGACGGGGCGTCGCTGACGAGCCGGGTGGCGGAGGCTCCGCAGGAGTGCGAGTGGCAGCGCGTGTCGGGCGCCGCCGGGGAGCCCACGCGCGTGCAGCTGGCGTGCTCGCTGCGCACCGCGGCCGGCGCCACCGAGCTGCTGGCCGGCCTCACCAACTCGCAGGCGCAGCGCATCACCGCGCTCGACCTGCACTGCACCGACACCCTGTTCTTCGAAAGCTCCCTGGACGTCGGACGAAGAAAAGAGGAAGGAACTGAACTCTTATCACGCTTCCACAATCTGAAAGAACTCAGAATAGAGTCCTGCAAGATCCGATATGTACCCTCCGCGGTGCTGTCGCCGCTCAGTGGCCTCCGAAGCCTCAGCATCCGGACTCACAACACTGACTGGTCTGCGATGTCTATGGAATTCCATCGGGACACGTTCAGAGGCCTCACTGACCTGAGAAGTTTGGATTTGGGTGACAACAACATCTGGGTCTTGCCATCTGAAATATTCTGCCCTCTCTACAACTTGAAGGAACTGAATGTTACTCAAAACCGATTGCAAGACATTTCAAACCTTGGATTTTCCGACTGGGGCAATGGTCCAACTGCACCCGGCAAATCGTGCAATACCGTGCTAGAGACGCTGGATATGTCGCATAATGAAATCAGTGGCTTACCAGATAACGGTTTGTCAAGCTTGCGCGCGCTCCAGAAACTGTTTTTGCAAAACAACAGGATATCGAATGTGGCGGATAGAGCTTTTGTGGGACTGAATGACTTGCAAATACTGAATTTGTCTACCAATGCACTGACTGCACTCCCACCTGAAATGTTTCAGTCATCGAGGGATATCAAACAGATATACTTGAACAATAATTCGTTAAGTGTTCTCGCGCCTGGACTTCTCGAAGGATTAGATCAGTTGCAAATATTGGATTTGTCTGTGAATGAGTTGACTAGTGAGTGGATAAACAGAGATACGTTTTCGGGACTAGTTCGCTTAATAGTTTTAAACTTATCGCATAACAGAATTACAAAAATAGACGCGTTATTGTTTCAAGACCTGAACAATTTACAATTCCTAAGTTTGGAGTTTAATAATGTAGCGCGCATTGCAGACGGAGCTTTTTCCAATTTGAAAAATCTTCACTCTCTCTCCTTGGCTCACAACAACATAATTGAAGTAGACAGCAGTCACTTTTCAAACTTATACGTATTGAATCAATTATTCCTCGATGGGAACAGAATTACAAAAGTTGACCTGCGCTCTTTTGAAAACATCACCAAACTTCACGATTTGGGCCTTAGTGGAAACCAGTTATCCGAAGTACCGGAAGCCATAAAGACGTTGAGATTCTTAACTTCTCTCGACTTAGGCATGAATAGAATAACTAAAGTGACAATTTCACATTTCGAAGGATTAGATGACTTGTACGGCTTGAGACTGGTGGGAAACAAAATCGAGAAGATATCTAAGGATACTTTTGCCGCTTTACCATCTCTACAAATACTGAACTTGGCTTCAAACAACATAGATCAAATAGATGATGGCGCTTTTGCAGCGAACCAACAACTAAAAGCGATTGGCTTGGATGGCAACAAACTTGTCGACTTAAAAGGCATATTTACAAACACTCAACCTCTTGTTTGGTTAAACGTTTCTAACAATGAACTGTTATGGTTTGATTATAGCCACATACCATCCAACTTAGAATGGCTTGACATGCATGAAAACAAAATAGAAAAGCTGGAAGACACATACGGCGTGAAAGAATCGTGTAATATCAAAATGCTAGATGTTAGTTACAACAAAATCAGAAGCATTGATGAATTTTCATTCCCAAGTAGCATTGAAACTGCTGTATTGAATAACAATTACATTGAAAAAATAAGTCCTGGAACATTTCTACAAAAGTATAATCTTAACAAAGTTATGCTTTACTCCAATAAGATAAAGACATTAGAGGCGGCGGCTTTCGCGATATCAGCTGTTCCGGAGGAGAAAGATTTACCCGAGTTCTATGTAAGCGAGAATCCATTTGCGTGCGACTGTACAATGGAATGGCTGCAGAGAATTAACCAATTAAGTGACCCCAGGCAGCGCCCGAGAGTAATGGATTTAGAAAGTGTAAGATGCTCTTTAACCCATTCACGAACCAAATCGGATGTGCTCTTACTCGAAGTCAAATCATCAGAATTTTTATGCGAGTACGATTCACATTGTTTCACCCTTTGCCATTGTTGTGACTTTGATGCCTGTGACTGCAAGATGACTTGTCCAGATAGATGCTCGTGTTATCACGATCTCACCTGGAACTCCAACGTGGTCGATTGTTCCGAAGCCGGCTACGATCACGTGCCGGACCGAATACCGATGGACGCGACCGAAATATACTTGGATGGTAACGATCTAAAAGAATTGGGAAATCACGTTTTCATCGGCAAAAAGAGATTACAAGTTCTATATCTCAATAACAGCAACATAAACACAATACAAAATAGAACATTTAACGGGATCGATTCATTACGTGTGCTTCATTTGGAAAACAATAACTTGGAGGTGTTAAGAAACACGCAGTTCACAAGATTGCAAAACTTGAATGAACTATACCTGCGCAATAACAAAATAAAGGTTATAGAGAATGATACATTTAATTACCTGCCCTCACTGGAATACTTGGACCTTGACAACAACGGTTATGTTGATTACATGCCATGGAGAGTCATTACCGACAACAATCCTCGCACGCGTGTGTCTGTAGATGGGAACAACTGGATATGCGATTGTAAAGACGTAGCTCAGCTGAATCAATGGTTAATAAAAAAATCAAAAGATACCGAGACCATGATGTGCTACTTTGCTCACGGGCAGCCAATGAATAAAACTATTGCGACTGTAGCGAAGGAATGTAAAACCGAGATTACTACCGAAGAAACCGGGACGGAGACTCTAAAGCGATTATTCATCGAATCGAATGACGGAGTCGAAAATTACATTCCATATATCGCGGCGGTATTGATAATAGTAATTATACTTTTATTAATGTGCGCACTTCTTTTTATGTTCCGAGAAGATTTCAAATTGTGGATGCATTCGAAATATGGTATTAGAGTATTCAGTTCCACGCCTAAGGACATGAATGACAATAAAAACAAGCGATTCGACGCGTTTTTTGTGTACAATCCCCGAGATGAAGACTTCGTGACTCGTGCAGTGAGCTCAGGGTTGGAGAACTCGGGACATTCATTGTGTTTACAGCACCGAGACTTGCAACTGATCGAGCGGCGATCGGGCGATAGTTTAGTGAGTGCATCGGAAAGTTCAAAAAGACTTGTGATAGTGTTATCAATAAACTTTTTACAGCAAGAGTGGTACGCGCCCGAGTCAAAGGCGGCCGTACAAAGTGCTATCAACTCAGTGAACGTTAGACATAGACGCCAGAAGATAATATTTCTCGTAACGACAGACTTGAGTGCCATAAACATAGATCCGGACTTGAAAGTGTTGCTTAAAACGTGTACAGTGATAGTGTGGGGTGAGAGGAACTGTTGGGAGAAGCTAAATTTTCGGTTACCGGATGTGGACGTGACCCTGCCGAATCGGACGCTTCATAATGCGAATAATATGAAAAGTGGTAATAGGGAAGGTTTCGGGCGTCACGGGAACTTGAGGTATACGGCGCCGCCGACGTCCCACGACCCGTGGTACAAGTACGGGATGGCTCCGCCGATCCTGATGATGTCGAGCCCGATGCATTCGACCAGCGCGAGCGCGGAGGTGTCGGCGCGCAGCACGGAGGACGAGACGTGTTCAGTGGCCAGTAGCGAGGGCCGGCCCGACGACCGGCTCCCGCATCACCATAGCTACGTCTCCATAGACAACCACCAGTGTGAGGAGCGGCCCCTAAGGCCCCCCCAACAAATCCCCATGTCAAACACTAGGCCTAGTAACATGAGAAAGACTTACTTTGTGTAATTGTAAAACTAAAATGTGATGTGTTTACGTAAACTGTATAGGATCTAAACCTTGTATTGCATCTCTGTTGTAATGAATGTAAGCTTTTATAAATTAGTTGGTGCTCTAAATGCGAAAATTTGAAAGCATAATGTTGATGAACTCTTGATTTTGATGTACTAAAAGTACTTCTTGTGTTTAGGAGATTCGCATGTGTTGATTTATTATAATATTTATTTATTGTACCTGTCTTCAGTCATCGCATTTGCCTATCACTGCGTATACTCATAAGCATTTATGATACCCACAGACATTCCCTGATTTTGTATTTTCTATGTGCATGTGTAACTGTTACTTACTGTAAGAGGTTCCTGATAAAAAACCTGAATTATGTAATTACAGGATGAAGTAATGACTACTATGTGATAATATTAGGTACTTATGTTAAAGACTACGCTGTAAAATTAACTAGAAATTGTATATTTGTACCATAATTTGTAATATAATATCGTTGAAGAACTGAACTGTACCCTAGTCAATTGTAAATATTTAGATTGTAAGTTTTTAGGTAAAAAAATAATTTTGTGATGTAATTTTTAGCTAGAACATAAAAACGTATTTATTACGCTTCCAATCACAGAGTATGAATAAATTAATTATTTTGTCTACTATATTGGCTTTTATTAAGGATCCCTTGTAGTCTAAAATTAATAATACACACCAAATTCTTTACACATTATCGAAGACTTCATTAAAAATCCATATCAACCATCTATACAGGTGATTGAATAGGGTAGAGCCAGTGTCAGAGAGTTTTTATATTGACATAATCAATTTACTAAATCGCTTTGTTCGCTCATCTACGCTCAAATGTATAAATATTTATTTTATCTAAATTGATCGACTTGGATAAGATCACGCGCGCGGCTCCGTACGATTTTAATTTAAAAGTCGTCCGCGACAGTGCGCGCGCGTCTGATGCCCGCTGCGAAACTATAAATCATCATCCGACTATGAATATACAGCGGTTTAATTGACTTTTGATTGCGCTGCTACGTCACTTCATTGTTAGGATGTATCATGTAACTGGAGCAATCGATTATGTCATCTCATCTAACACATAGTGGCGCAAAAGGACAGTCCAAATGATAGAGCGTACAACGTTAAATCGAATCAAGATACACTCAGTGACTAGTCTCTACACTGATTAGATATACATTTACAGCATCAATTTCTAGATAAGATAGGAACAATCATAATCTTTATGCAGATTTGTTATTTTTTGTTAGGCACATCTGATATGTTACTCATATTATATCTCGTTCGTGTAGTTTTTTGGATCTTCTTCTTTTCTTTTCGTGTCGACAACAAACCTACACAGTTTTTTGGATGATACATAATAATTATGCAGATTTTACTTTAGAATATTAGCTCTACCATAATCGTTACGACGAGAGTAATTAACTGAACCACTGACAATGAAATATAATACATTTATTACACGGAATCAACATAACCATCTCACTAATTCATCTAAGACTAATCGTAGCCGATTACTAGCCGATCACACATAATTTGTTTATCGAATGCATTTAATGTTAATTCAAAGGTTAATTCTTCTTGATATATTATCTCCACAACAAATCGTTGTTCATTTGTTTATAAAACGAATAATATTTTATCAATAAGCGAGTAAAACCCGAACGTCTCAATCAAATTAGTCATGTAACACTATCCGAAGGCGAGCGTCGAACGTTGTGTATCCCAAGGATCTAAATTGTGGCCATCAAGGCCCGTGTCCCCGCCACACTAGGCCATCTATTTGCGCCAACATTCCCACAACATGAACACTCATCACCTTTTTTTCGTGCAATACGATACCTCGATCGTTTATTGCCGAGACCATTCGAAACCCGTTCTAAACGTAACCGAGACATTGTGGACTAACTTCAGAAATATCCAAAGAGGTGACAATTGATTATACGCCACGCTGAGACAAAAAGCGGAATCGCTCGATTAGTTATGTCGTCGCGACGCGTAGGCCNGTGGCTATTTACACGCCACACCACTATCATAGATAGATAGATAGACGCAGATCTAAAATATAGCTTTACGTTTAAATCACTAATTTTACTCTCCATTGTGAATCAACCATTTCATGAAATTATAAGCTATAAAAATGTATGTCAGCCTAAAGCCATTAGCTTTAAAAGGCATTTTTATACATCCTCTCGTAAAATCATAAAATACGGCCCAAGTTTTGATAAATCTCGGAAGTTAAGAATCTCGAGAACGCAAATTTCCCGTTTCAGCAGCGAACGCTGTTAAACAGTCGTACAATATTGTCATGGGTGCTGTTAACGGCTTTAGAATTGTGATTTATTTATATGTGTGCTTAATTTGTACAATACAAATTAACTACAAAATATACTCAACATCAAATAAATCGCACCTTCCGCGACGCGAACTTTAAAGATTTTCTTCTGAGACAATCATGGTGCCCCAACAATATTGGTGTTATTTGAAAGCCCAGTAAATATCCTTTAAGAAAAACACATTTAATTTCTTAATAAATGATTAACATATACCATAAATGTGACTTGAAAAAATACCTCACTTTGGGCCCACCTCTGGGATCAATTAGACCAATTGTTATGGATATAAAACCAAATAATGATCTCATGTGTCCTCTTTAACAGATGGATAGCGATTAATCCCAACTTAACAGTTTTATAGCCATAAAAGTGGGCTCAAACGTAACTACCTATTTTTTTAAGAAGTGACTCTGGATCCTTCTAAAGACACATTTATGGGGTAAAAACCTTTCCTTTAATGAAATGAAGGTTAGAACTAGGTTTTGAAATGGTGCCAATATTGGTGGGAAGCGGGGTTGCATACGTTTGAAAGTGCTTGTCGCGGGAGGTGCGATTTACTTGATGTCGAGTTTATAACTAGTAAATAGTTGTTTAAAAAACTACAAGGATAGAAGACACAATAAGATAATCTTTAGTCCGACACTGACGACTAATATGGCCTCCAATTTGTCAATTCTGGTATTTTAATCGATCATTCTTCATAAAAATTCAATCGATCGTCAAAAACTGAAAGTTACATTATTTAATTTTATTAATCAAAATATTTTTTTCACATCGGAGAAGCCTTTGGCCTTAATGGTAAGTGATGATCCGGCCGAAGGTGGAAGCGAGTTTCACCTGGAATTCTTAACTTCTGCGGATTTGGTTATCATACCTCTAAACTACCGAAACACAACAATGCTGTTGACATTGTTATTATGGCTACTAGGAATTATTTCACTTTCTGGTTGAGAAGGCATACTACTCCATTAACGAATTCCTCCTGGACAATTTAAAAATGTAATCCTAAAATGTTTGCATGTAAAATTATAAAATGAACAGGTATTAGTATTAAGTTACCATTTATTTATTGCACGCCATCTGCTTGGCAAATTGTAGCTGAACAATTTTACGTTTAAATTTAAGACCCATCAATGTATGATACGTACCTACAATTGCAATAAACTAATTTGATTTGATTTAAGATTAATTGCAGGAAGTCATTGTATGCAGATCATTCGAGCCAGTTGCTGGCGCTTGCTAGTAGAGTAAAGAAGACAACTGTTTCGCATTTTGGCAGCACACAAGTTGCAATTAGTGAAGCAAAAACCATAACCGTCCACTGTAGGTCACTGCAGGCGTAATGGCCGGGCGTTTTGCATATAAACGACCTTTACATGCTCTAAACCGTACCGTGTCTTTGAACACTGATACATTCATGGAATGTAATAATCACTTAGACTCTACAAAGAAAGGTATCCATTTTGATAAGGTTTACTAAGGTTAACTTGACCTTCACTGGTTGGATTTTTATTGGCGGTCAAGCTGTAGATCCTGGCTACAGGAGTTGCAACGGTGGGAACGAGAGGTGGGAATAGTCTCATTTAAGTGTAACTTTGTCTTCTGTCTATCTATTTGAACTGTTTTTATGTATTTGAAATACATTATTAGTGACTAGCTGTTTCGGAGGAAAACAGAATATTTTCGTACTGGAGGAAAAGTTATAGCTCAACCAAAGTTATGCTCCTAATTTTTGACGTTAGATTAATTAATTTCACACTTGATTTATTACGAAAACTTAGCGTTTGAGCTGAGTGGTTAAGCTCATAACTTGGTTCTTGAACCCTCAAAATAATTAAAGCTTCATTAGATATTTCAGCAGCTAGGCCCATTCCAGGTCAGTGGCGCTAATGGCCGCTGCGCTTAGCATATACGAGCTACGAGCCGCCTAACTCACTATATCCTGCCTTCTCGCGATGACGAATGTTCGAACTTCCCCCGTTTTATCGCCGCGCTTCCGATACTTACGTCGTGTTGTGCAGTTGTCGTGAGTTATCGTCGGTGCACTAACTAACGTCGTCAGTACAACTTAGCCTAACTTTGTTTACTGTACAATACCGAAAGATTAATCACACTAAGTAGTTCCTAACCGCATCTATCAGATCAGTAGCTTAAAAGTTGGTAATTTTTGACGTAATAAAGTTTCTTATAACCTGCGACACATACAGCTCTTTTACTGCAATTTACTTACGATACAATTTTCTCAGTCTGACTGATGTAGTCCCGATATACCTATGTTTATGCTAGCAAATCTAAATATATAAAAGGAGAAACTGACTGACTGACTGACATATCAACGCACAGCCTAAACGGCTAAACGTAGGCACTTGAAATTTGGAAGGGACGTAGCTTAGGTACCGTAGAGGTGCACTAAGAAAGGAATTCCCGAAAATCCCACGGGAACGGGCCCCTAAGGGGGTAAAACGGAATCCACGCGTACGAAGTCGCGGGCGACCGCTAGTCTAGCAATAATATTGCATGTATCGCCTCTATTACCTATTGTTAAAAATATTTTTCACGCTACGCGCTACGTTTATTCAAGGTTCTGCTTATGACTTCATCCCTTTGTCTTAGTTTTCTAGAAAATATGAGCAGTCTGTTACTTAATAGTACTTCAGTTTTCATAGACTACATAAACAGTGCTCTTGACCACCCAAGTGTAGGTGCTATTCACGTACTATATAGTTCATTTAAGTGATCATCATCAATAATTCAGCCATAGGACGTCCACTGTTGAACAGTGATTCCTATAATGACCGGTTGGTAGGGACCTGCATCCAGAGGCTTCCTGCTACCTTTGTATTTAAGTGATCAACAAGTTATTTTCCTAATTACTTTGCTACTTTCTCACTAACTCATAGCAAGACATACAGCACGTACAGTACATAATACTTATACGCTTTAGTATAGGTACAGTGTGAGATAAATTATTAGCAAACTGATGTCAAGTCCGCTCTGATTCACAACGTACATTTAATTTTGATTTACTGCAATGTTTGCAATGACAAGATCAAACCAATAAGCGCAATAGAAATTAAGTATCAGTTATATCAAATAGATACACACTGAATTCATGTTAGTGAAGCACTAAACAATTTCCAGCTTCTATCCATCAGTGACAGCTTTGCGTGTCGTATGAATTTCTATAACTTTACATGTTCTGGCAAGGCGTTTATGTGACAAAATATTAACAGTGGCAATTAAAACCTTCTAATCAGTCCTTAAAGGTACAGGTTTGTAGCCG